GAGAGTAAGAGAGACAAAGAATGAATCAAAGAGATACAAAGAGAAGAGAATAGTGGCCCTCACTTTTAGATGCCATTCTTGCAAAATACCAGCCCCACCCAAACTATGCAACATGAGACCACACCCATTTATTCAAAATTGATAAAACGAGTTCCAGTCGTGGTGCCAGTAGAAAATCTGCTTCTGGTTCTACTAGACTCAAACCAAATCCCAACTTCTTGAATTCTCCTAGTCAAAGTGATGGGGTAGGTAAGGAGGGGACTGTACCAGAATCCTTTGATACAACTCCCTTGAATGTTGTAGATTTGTTTATAGTTTAGTTTGTTGTTTATTTTTGTATAAAGACTCATAATTATGTTCACATGTTGTGTGTTATTGTTATTATAGGTCCAGTACAATGAGTTAACATGTCTACCTAACAATGTGATCAAACTGGATAAAGTATCTAAAATATTTGCAAGGTAAATATTGTATCCACTCTCTACCATATGTACATGTATATCTCTCTCCATGCATACATGTACTTATCTGTTGGGTATTAAATTTTATAAATTGACAAAAATCGTTTTAGTTTTGCCTTTTGGCTCATAAGGACATCAGAGAGAGAGAGGGAGGGATCTCAGCTTTTATTTCATGTGCTCCTCCTATTAGCTATACTGCATGGACAGTATTACCTCAATTTGTCTTCATAACATTGTCCATTAATTGATACATGTACATGTACATGTGTATTTATAGTCATTTTCAGTTAATGATACATGTACATGTACTGCATGTTTTTTTGTTTTTCTTGCTTTTAGCTGCTTCATTGTAGTTAACTTATTAATTTGCTAACTTGATTCGTACACTTTACTAATCCATGAAAACTATACCTAAGCAGTGGCACACACAATTATAAGGAAAAGTGATAGAAAAACAGGAAACATTTCCTATCACCATGTACATATGTATTTTTCTCTCCATTTTCTCATTTCTTTACTTGTTTCATTTCTTTCTTCCCTTTCTTCTTTCTATTTCTCTTCCCTCCTTTTCCCTCCTCCCCCTCATTCTATTCCTTTCCTTCTTTCCTTTCTCTATGTATATCTCTCCCTCCCTCTCTTTCTATTATAGTCTCTCCTATATGTTAGGAAGGTTTGAGTCTCTTCATTATCTTCTCTTTGATGTTCTCCTCTTAATTAAATGAATGAGACCTGACATCCTCCGGAAAGGAACAGTATTGGTCCTCTAGTATCTCTTGTATTGAAGAACCAGGAGACCACATGTGACGGCCAACCTCTCCCTCGTCCCTCAAGATCCCCTCGTGACCATACAAGTGAGAGATGATGTGACTTTTGATGATAGTCATGTGATGTTGTGTAGGTAAGGATGAGGAGTGGGTGGAGTGAGGGGAGGTGTGGTGAGAAAGGAAGTTGTGATGATGAAAGCTATGCTACCTCCTGAGTAAGAATATTATTAATGTGTCTTTTAATAAATACTGTATAGTTTAAATTTATGATTGTGACCTAATATTTTTGTTAATTTTGTTATTTTTGTTAATAATTTCCGACTAATAATTTTTGAGTTATGAGCATTTTTAGAAATAGGCCAAATTTTGAAAAATACCCAAGGCTATAGCCCATGCTTCTTCCAAAAAATGGCTCCAAAATCACCCCTAATTTTTATTACATTTCCTGATACATATTGATGTCCTTATGCTGTGTAGAAAATTTGAACTGTTTCCAACAAATAATTTTTGAGTTATGAGCATTTTTAAAAATAAGCCAATTTTAAAAAAATACCCAAGGCTATAGCCCATGCTTTTTTGTAAAAAATGGCTCTGAAATCACCCCCAATTTTTATTACATTTCCTGATACATATTGATGTCCTTATGCTGTGTAGACAATT